GATGGATGGATGGATGGATGGATGGATGGATGGTAAAGCTAAATATCCAAAGAGTAAGGTGCAGATATTTGGTGACAGGCAGTGCCACATGCAGATGTTAGTCTTAATCTGCTGTATCCACCCAGTAACATGACATACTTCATACATATTTTCTCCAACTGCAGCACTTCTGCAGATAACACAGCACTGATAAACTCAAACCTTTTTGCTTTTACTTACTTTATGTGCAGGATTCAGTTGTTTAGGAGTCACAGTGTCCGCAGAGTTGAAGGTGCGTACACAAGTTAACACAGTCGTGACTCCTTAAAGGTCACTTTACAGGAAAATAATCAAAGTCTCACATTTCCCCACAACACTCACTGTTGCCATAAAGACACGTTGCGCCTAATTTGAAACCGGTAGAATTATTTCACTCCACCCAGCGCTAATGATAATGTGATGCGTTATTGATTTCCGCTTTAACATTTCACCTCATTTGCTCCTCATTAGAGACTTCAGAGGTCAGAATCATCCAAAGTACCGCATCTTAAAAACTTTTCCTCTTTTCCTTTTCCCTGTCTCAGGCCTGATGTTTGCAATTACTCACAGCTTCTAATTGCACAACATGATCCTGTGCTTGTAAAAGCTGCAGGCTGCTGGCTGCTAAGGTAACTTGCTGTCTTTATTATCATCATTATCAGATTTGATGGGGTAACATTAAAGGTCCCATATTAGATGAATGTCTTGCATGTGTTCGAAATGTGTTTTTCAATGTTTCAGCTCAAAATACTGCTAAGTTGGTTCATTTTTTTTTTACCATGAATGTATAACTCCTGGCTTTAATCCTGTTCTAAATGGGCTGTTCTGGTGTCTGTCGTCAGTGATGCAGAGCAGGAGCTTGGAAATGTCTCTGAAGTGACCGCTGGTTCACGTGTTGCCTTAACGGGTCAAGTTTCATTCAACATTTCATACTTTGTCTGACAACAGAAACAGCAAAATATGTAAATGAAAACAGTTTTATTGTGAAATTAGCTGTGTTAAAATAGAATATATGTGAGCACAGAGAGCAGGAGAGAAGCGAACAGATGCAACCACTGGCGGAGTTTAGGTTGCACTGAACCTACCTAGTCCTTGTTTATTGGTTTAAAATTAGTCTCTCAGGGTTACAGTTTCCACCAAGCTCTAACCTGTAGCCGTACAATGAAAGCTAATGGTAAAGCTAGCCACACTAGCAGCAAAACATTATCACACTAAAGTTCCTCAGATGCTAGCAGTGCATGGAGACGCTTGTGTTCAGTCTTACAGCAGAACATCTGATAAGTTCTGATCGTGGCTCGGACATTTTAGAGTTAGCAGAAGTAGCTCTAGAAGATAAAAAACAAAACTGGTGGACTGTGAGGCTCATTCTGATCGGCTAGCTTCACAAGCAGTGGACAGTTTGGGGGCTCCTTGTGGCTCCTTAGGGATATAAGTATCTGGAACTCCTAACAAGTCAGTCAGAACTGGTGAAGCCTCTTGGATGAGAGGTGGAACGTCTTCAAGAGTCCAGTTGCTACGATTAAACCACGAGAATAACCATGACCTGGATGACTGAGAATCTTCACAGACACTTTGGGGGCTATATTATGTAAAGTTTGGGTTCCTCAGTTGGAACAGCTGATTCTTCCTGGTTTGTAAATCTGGGAGGATGTCTAGTCGTAGAACTAAATGTCTTCACATCTTAACAGCTTTTACTTTACAAAACACAATAAAATAAAAAAATCGATTTTCTCCATATGGGACCTTTAAGTTGAAGCATTTATGCGATGGGAGACGGCCAGTAGGGGGGAACCTTCTCAAATGACTATTACCTTCATGCTTATTGTGCAGGTGTATGAGCTCGGTGTGATGCCCCCAGGCAGCACTTTTAGATTAGTCACCCTGCAATTATTTTACCCCCTTGGGAATGAAATGTGCTCAGTAAGTTTCTAAGCAATAAAAGATTATGAGAGAGCAGGAAGGAGTCACTGTGGTAGAAATACCAATGTTTTCAATGAATTTTATGGGAATGTGATGGACTTTTATATATATATATGTATTGTTAATGTATATGTTTGAGTCGTATGAATTTTTAGCTGTGACGTTTTCAGATCTGTTGCGTCATACAAATGAAAAAAAAAAAAAGGTTCAATCAGCCAGAGTTAGAAGGTTAATTTCCCTATGAGAGACATTCTTTTTGTATATAGGAACCCTGTCCCATTACTGCCTTTCTTCTCTAATGGGCTCAATCGTGGCCCATTACCAGCCCACACTCATTCTCCATTCTGTGTGACACCACTGTCCACATATCGATCCCCTCCACACATGGATGCATTTACAGCCATGTTTGCAGCATGTGTTCACACAGATGACTTTCTCTGTGTTTTAAGCTCGATCGATAACGGAGACGGTAGATGAAGGATGAATATGTGAAGAAGAGGAATAGTTTTTTTTTTCAAGAGTCATTTATATATTTTGTTCAGTCAGAGACTTTAGTGTTGGTTTGACTTTAGGTGATGCAGATATTTTGGCTGATTTCAAGCAAAACTGACAAACATTTTGATTTGATCTGCATCTTTTTGTCTTATGTGATAGTAAACTGAATGTGAAATAATAAATGAATGCAATTAAGTTAATTTCTTACTCCCTAAATTTGATATCGAACCCATAAATCCAGTTCTGATCGGTGCTCATCGTTGCAGTAAAACTCCATAATAGTTTGGAAAAGTTGTACCAAGACAATTTAAGTTGTGGTTTTTCCACATTTGTGACGATAGAAATCGGATCCACATGAAGTTTTATCAAAGGTTATGAATCCATTTTGTTTTTGCTGGCGTACGAGCCTGACTTTACAGAGTTAAAGAATAAACCAGTCAATAGATTGAACACTGTTAAAAACTGGCAAATTTGGTAATGCTGAAAATACAATTTAGGAAGAAAAAAAAGTGGGTATTGTGTCATGAAACTGGGCGTGACATCGTGTTTAGGATCGCTAAATCATCAAAGAATCACGGTGGTTGAAATCACAGCGTTCTGACATCAAAAATTCTTAAAAAACCAAACATGTTCACTTCTTGATTCCAGATTATTCTGTAATTATTATATTTAATAAAATGACTAAGAATCATTTCTATACTCAATTCGACCTTTGACCTTCAGCGGGAGACCAAATATCAGTCCTCTTCAATATAGTATCAGATAGCTTCTGGATTAGCTTGCATGCTAACACATATTAGCTCATCTACTAAGTATTCCTGCACTAATAAGATCTCCAGGTAGCCATTTGTATTTTTAGCTCCCCCCTTTTCTCTTTACATGTGTATAATAATTTTAATAAATATTAAATCGATGACTTTTAAGATAAAAGAACAAATAGTTTGAAATTACAAAGTGCTGGACTGTTTAGGCCATGATAGTTTTGAAAGCCTCGTTTGAATTGGTAATAATAATAATAATGAATAAAAAAAAGTAAACAAATAGGCAGCTAAAATGCTAAATACTTTCCAATGGCTCAAACAAGTATCTCAGTTATGTTTTCATTAAAATATATGTAATATAATGTCCAGTTTTGTCAGTAGCATCTGTAAAAACAGTGTCTTCAGGATATTTTTGTGATTAGGATGGAGTAGTACCTTCTGTGTTGGATTATTCTTGATGTTTTCTTCTGTGTTTTGAACGCATCCCAACTCGAGGCCTTCAGAAATGCTTCAGATTGGGAGATGAGAAGTGGAATTGTTGAGAAAGCATCTAATTTTGCATATCGATTTTAAGTGGCTTTCATTTTTTTAATGAACCTACTGACTCTTCAGCATTCGACCAGACTTCATACTTATTTTTGCTGACTGGAATTCTTGAAATCCGAAGACAGACGTGGTTTCAAAACTATCATTTTAAACAAGATTCAACATATCTGCTTGCGTGTTTGGACATTAATAATCCTGATGAGAAGCCAGCCAGGGCGAGTTATTGCCCAATAAATGCAGACTTTTAGTGTATTTGTCTGTTGGGGAGCGACACCAAGCTGTAATACTGCAGTCCGTCCTGCAGGGGGAAGCTGGTTTCCAGTTTTGCTTGAGGCTGTGTGCTGAAATGAAGAAACACAATAAAGTGATGATGAAGAGGCAGCACAGAGCATATGTGCACATCTCAACTGTGCAATATTTCAATGCTGTTTTTCTTCCTTTTTTTTTCTTGTTCTTGATCTTTTTTGTCTTTTCTTTTTTTATTTTTCGCACACACACAATTGGATTGAATGGCAGCAGACCAAAACCCTCTCCGTAAATGATGGCCTCTCTCTTCACTTGCACGCTTCCTCCAAAACAACATTTCTTTGCGTCACGCCGACGCTGGTGGTGACGAGCTGCTCCACTACACTCCTCCTCTCGCACCTTGTCCTCCTCACTCTCCTCCAACTCTCCCATCAGGACCAACAGGGATGTGATGCGCTCCTGAACAAAAGGAGAGGGGAAGAAGAAAGAAACCACACAAAAGAGGCTGGAGAACAACTTTTTTTTTTCTTCATTCAGGCTGGTTTTTACCTGAAAGTGGCTCCAACTCCAGGGGTTTAAAAAGAAAAAAGGGTGTTTTTTTCTCTCTTGGAAGCGTCTCATAGAAACTCAGCAGCCCTGTCCTGTGTTGTGTTTCCCATATGTCGCGAAAGCAGGTCGACCATGACTACAACCTCCGTAGTATGAGCAACCTGATGGGCGAGCGCTGGAAGAAAGTGAACGATGGAGGCGAGCGGAGTCTCATCAAAGCTCCATCCAGCGCCAGCATCAGCAGCCAGGGCGCATCGGCTGGATCCTCCACCGCCGGAGCTCCAGCATCCTCAGCATCAGCAGCAGCAGCAGCATCCACCTCCTCCTCCTCCTCCACCACCAACACCACCAACACCGGGGACCTGGAGAGGGCTGCCCGCAAGCAGTTCCAGCAGGATGTCACGCCCGGTTTCGTCTACGTCCTGGCCGTGTTCTCCGCCCTGGGGGGCTTCCTGTTCGGCTACGACACCGGGGTGATCTCCGGGGCGATGCTCCTGCTGAAGAGGGAGCTGGACCTGAGCGCACTGTGGCAGGAGCTGCTCATATCAAGTACTGTGGCCGCGGCCGCCCTGTCCGCGCTGCTGGGCGGCTTCCTCAACGGGCTGTTCGGGCGCAGGGTGTGCATCCTGCTCGCCAGCTTCTTCTTCACCGTCGGCGGCATCGTGCTGAGCGCCGCGCCCGGCAAGGAGGTGCTGCTGGCGGGGAGGATCATCGTGGGAGTGGGGCTCGGTAAGGCGCGCTCAGGACGCACGGGCTGAGGTGTTTGGTTAGGTTTGGTTTGGTGAGAGAAAGTTGGAACAAAAGCTACTGAATGAGTTTTGGATGATATTTTAGTGCACAAAACAACATCCACTGTTGCTCCAAATGCACTGATAATAATGTGATATTGATTATTGCTTAATATTTCCCTTCATTCCCTCCATAACAAAGTTCAGAGGTCAAAGGCTAAAGTGCACCTTGAAGTCATTGATCTTATAACTTTATTGCACCTTTTTCCTTCCTCTCATTGTCTCAGGCCTCTTTATCACAGCTTCTAATTACACAGTATGGCCTTGGTGCTGATACAAGCTGCAGGCTGCTGGCTGTTAAGACAACTTGCTGCCTTTATTATCATCATCATCATTATGAGCAGAACTGGGTGCCATTAAAGATCCCACATTTAATGAAAGTCTCTCATGTCCCCAGAGCGCAACTTTTAATCTCAAAATCCTGCAAAAATGGTTCATTTCACCATGACTGCATGTTTCTTGGTTTTCTGATTGGGTTGTTTCAGTGTCTGTAGCTGTAAATGCAGCTGAACTGCTGCTGTTTGCGCCCCCTTCAGGAAGAAAACTCTCTCTGGGTGATTGAAGGCACGATGCAAAACAATTGTTGGCACAGATGTGATGGAGTGTGCGAGATCAGGACTTGATTTAATGTGGAAATACCATCGAATTCATGGCATAGTTGTTGTTTTTAACTCATGACTTTGTCAGACGACGTTGAGCAGCAGCTTGAAAATTGTGTGGATTCCAGTCACTAGTTCACACTTATTCTGTTGTCTGATGGCAGAAGCAGAAAATATGCAAATAAGAACATCTTTATGAGAGTTTGGCTGTATTGTGTGTGAGCACAGAGAGCAGGAGAGAAGCAAACATGTAAATACCAGCAGATGACACAAAAAAAATAGTTTATTGGTTTCAAATCGCTATTCATCTCTGAATGTCTCTCAGCGTTATCGTTGCCGAGGAGCTCTGACATGTGAGCTTGTGATCAAAGCTAATGGTAACATTAGCTACATTAGCTGCACAACGCACCAGGGCTGGACCTAAATATCCAAATATCTGAATATTCGGTCGTTGTGGTGGTATCCGGATACCAATATTCGCCCACTGCCACCAACACTGATGGTGGACACAGAACTAATCGGCATTAGCAGCCAAGTCCTACCTGTGCGTCCCGCCAATTCCACCCTGTTGGTCCAAATATTTGGCTATTCATCATTCGTCATTAAAATGGCCCAGAAATTGCTATTCGGCCCAGCCCTACAACGCACCAACACTAACGACCTACCTATTGTTATGGTGACATTGCCATCAATCATAAATGTAACCCACTGGATCCTCAGTTCCTCAGATGCTGGGAGTGCATGAAAGCTGTTGTGTTCACTCCTGCAGCCAACAGCAGAACATTCGGTGAGTTTTGCTCGCGGCTCAGACATTTTAGAGTTTAGCAGAAGCAGCACAAGAAAGTAAATAAACCTGGCAGGCTGTGAGGCAGCTGCTTTTTTTTTTTTTTTTGAACGACTGAAATCGCAAGCAGCAGGCAGTGAGGGGGCAGGATTATGCAAAGTCTGAGCTAGACGAGTTCTGGTTTCCCAATTCTAACAAGACAGTTGAGAAAAATTCCCTCCGGCTTGTAAAACTAGGAGGAAATCTAGTTGTAAAGGGACTTGGGGAATGGCAGAAGTGAATGTTTTCTAACTTGACAGCTTTTATTTTTTACACTTTAAAGTTTATTACTAACAGAAAACACAGCAAGGAGGGATTTTCACCACATGCGACCTGGGAGCGATGAAGGGAAAACATCCTCCCAGCATGCCCAAAGGAAGCCAGGATCAACCTACAAAAGAACACAGAAGACTTTCAGTGTCACTAAGCTCGCCTGATGTCAGCGTGTCATTTATCTGATTGGCTGATCCATCCCTGCTTCCTCCTCTACGTCTCCACCTTCGCACGTTCCCTTTCCACTGCTTCCTTCCTTCCTCTCTTTCATGAAAAACGTTTCCCCTCTCTTGAATCATCCCTCTCTCTGCATGTTCCTGCCTTCACTCTGGGCATGCTTTCCCGTGCAATGAGCCTATTGATCAGAATTCAATGCGCCCCGCATTATTTATAGCGGCTGATGTTAGTCATGAGTTGCATCCTCTGTGGAAAAAGGCTGTTAAAACTGGATTTCAAGGCTCAGCGCCTGTCCGCCAACTCCTTGGAGAGCAGTTAGCGCTCTTTCTCGGCGATACGTGGAGGAAGTGCAGAACCTTTTCTCTCCTCAGTCAACCGCTGGGGTCAGGGAGGAGGCTTAATTCTTTAATAAATATACCTGGCTGAAGTGAAGAGCTCCACTTTCACTTCTGCTACACACCGAAGCCCTTTATTACCTCCCTCCTAGTAGGATTTCTAATGCTGCGTGTGATAAATGGCTGTAATTTAGATTCTCGTTGTGAGATTACAGGCCGGCTATGCTATAATTTGCATATGTTTGCTTATCAGGCTTCGGGAAAGTGAAGATGATGAAAGGTTTGTTTTCCACCAGGTGGGAAAATGTGAGAGAATAACTGCTGGATAAACACCGGTTTAAAGGGACATACCGCCAAAACGTAGGCCTGTGGCTGAGGTGTCTGGAGGACATTTGGCTAGTTAGCATATGTGGATAGGTGTTACTCTCACCTTGTCCTGTGCACGAGCATGTGAGGGATATGCTGGAACGACGTTGTGTGGATCCATCCGTTGTTTGTTTCCCAGCGACAGCCAAAGCTGTGTACAAACACTGTTTTTCTTTTTCCCAGTGCACACACACATCAGACAGCTAGCAGACCATGAGGAGAAATTTGCTGAATTTCACAAAGTTGATTTTAGTCAGGGCTGCAGGGTGGCGCAGTTGGTAGCACTGTTGCCTCGCAGCAAGAAGGTTGCCGGTTTGCGTCCCGGTGGGGGCACTGGAATCTTTCTGCGTGGAGTTTGCATGTTCTCCCCGTGCAGCGTGGGTTCTCTCCGGGTTCTCCAGCTTCCTCCCACACAGTCCAAAAACATGTTGAGGTTAATTGGTGATTCTAAATTGTCCGTAGGTGTGAATGTGAGTGTGCTTGGTTGTCTGTCTCTAAGTGTAGCCCTGTGATAGACTGGTGACCTGTCCAGGGTGTCCCCTGCCTTCACCCTGAGTCGCCTGGGATAGGCTCCAGCCCCCCCATGACCCAAGTGAGGATTAAGCGGTGTATAGATAATGGATGGATGGATTTGAGTCACTGACTTTGCTTTTAATTACTTTGCAGTGAGTATGAATTTGTCTTCTGCTTTGGTGGTCAGAGGATTATATCATGATGCAAGTTTAACATAGTCAGGCTAAGTTTGCGGTAGCTGTCTCGATCAAACCTAAAACCCTAATCGGCTTTCAAGTTTTCTTCATAAGGCTCCAATAAAGGCGGATATTGATGCATAATTTGACTTTTCAGCTGCACAAAATGGTCTGAACACGATGCCTACAGCTACTTTCAGAGGCATGACTAACATACAGCTCAACAGGTTTGCAAATATATCTAAAATGAGAAGCATCGCTTAGGGAGAATATGGTCAGGAAACGAATTTATTCCAGCTGATTTAAATCCCAAACTCCAAACACAATCTCCTCTACAGCTGTGAAGCATCAGTTACCATGGTGATCTAGCAGGTCAAAAGAGAGCCACCTTGGTGACACCGAAAACTCTGACTTGAGGCTCAACATATCTTGCTAACCTGTTTTTCTCAGCCCTCAGCTGACACGAAAACACTCACAAACCTTCATCTTTCCTGTGGTGAACCGTGCGGCTTGCTTCGGTTTGTGGCAGATGCTTTTCTTCCAGGAGACAGCGAAGCATATCAGGGACTGACAAAGCATGAGAAAAGTAGCAATTGAATCCTGTATATTCTGCAGCGCTGCGAGATGGATACCATTGGAAAATCTCATAAAACTTATATTAGCCTTTCTTTGTACCACAATGATTCTTAAGCGAAGGCTCGATGAGTAACCATGACAACTCTGGCTGCTCTCCTCTCCCTTATTTTTTGTGTTGTACTGTAATTCTCCAAACTTGTTTTCTCTCTACAATCAGCTAAAATCACAGTTACAGGGAATTTAATGACAACAAGCTTGAGAGAGAGAGAGGTCAGTTAATGACATCAAATGGATGCAAGATTTTCAGATTGTCAGTAAAGTGAATGTTTAACTTTGACAAAGCAAATTAGATTTTACGATGCTAATTATCCAAAGCTGGGATACACAGTGTTGATGAAACCTCACCGTCCCCAGTTTTCATCCTGCACATGTCTTGAATATGTGTTCTTGCACTTTATGTCCACTCATTTTCTACACAGTTGGGATTTGTGCTTAAAACTTTCTAAAGTCTCAGAAAAGTTACTTGATAAGATAAGATATGAATTTATTTATCTCACAGTGGAGAAATTCACATTGTTGTCAGCAGCATTACACACAGAGATACACACATACTCAACAGAAAAAATTACATCTAAATATAAGAAATAGTGCAAACAAGTATAAAAGTACACATAAAAGGGCTGGTCTGTGGAAAAGAATTTTCCCCCTGTGGACAATAAAGTCTAAGTCTAAAAGGACACCGTTAGCACTCTTGGTTTAATAGAAAGCCGTATCACGAGCAATCAAATCTTTTGTCTCTAATTTAATTTCAGTCATTTAATATTTAGTATCTGCCAAAACCATTTTCCTAGATTATACAGGCTTCAAGTATTGTAGATTAACTGTAGTACCTGGTTGCACCACCAGGTGGAGCCTCTTACTTTTTACTACTGTAGTAACCAGAGGAGGCCGGTGCTTCAATGTGCTGGCAGAGAGCATTCTGGGGGGTTTAGTTAGAACCATGACAAAGTCTTCTGTGGTGGTTAATGACGTCTGACCAGCACACATGCAAGCCATGAGTGATGAAGATAGCATTTCTATTTGAATAGAAATCGTAGAAAACA